TTCAATCAAACAAAGTTGCAGTGTGCATGACAGAGTAAACTTCATTTTGCAAAATAAAACATGCTAACAATACGTTCTGCCTAATAAATTCAGACCAAAAGAATTGAGCCGAATTTAGAAACCAATGTGGGTGTGCTTGCATCTGAACTAGTATAAACTTGAAAGGGAGAAATACGAAAGGAGGGCAAAGGATGTACAGTTTGAAAATAGAGTTGAACGGCCACAAAAAATCTGAGAAAATTAATCAGATATCATCAGCATCACTTCCAGGTCCAACTATATGGGATTCTGGAATATATTGGCTTCCATCAGGACCCAGCACCATAAACCTATTCCACAGCAAAAACACACCATTCACAAGCTTGATATGAAATACAAAGCCAACAACACAGATTTTCATTTGTATACCTCTCAAGAATGACTTTTCCTTCCTTGTATTTTTGGCTTTCCTCATGAGCCGCTTCCTGATATTAACCAAAAAGATAAGTGGAAATGCATTTAAACACTGAGAATGTCAGCGCGAGCGTGCGCGCACACCCAAAAAATAAAAAAAAAATGTCTCACATATTTCCATCCCACAATTGAGCCACAACCCGTGCAAAATATGTCGGCAACTGTGTGCACTCCAGTTATCATTATCCTGTCTTCTTTCTCTCCAACAGTGACATTTACACTGTTACGCATCAAAGAACACAATATGAGGTGTACTATTCATGAATAGAATTTTATGAAGCACCCCTTCCGTTAGCGAATATCGTGAAGTGTGATAAGAAGATTGAAAACAATTTTACAGACCAATTAATTAGTCCTGCTTAATGTATTGGGTGTTGCAGTACTAAACAAAAAGTACCATTAAGATGAAACCAGCCAACGTGAGGATGCAAAGATGCATATGTGGTCACATTAATATATAGAAGACAAGAAAACAAAATACGCATTAACAAGTTGGGGGTGGTCCTGAATGAGATAAGTTATGAGAAAGGCGACTTCAATGTTTGCAAAGAGCCATGATTAAATGAGGCTCCCCTTTGTAAGAGTGATGCAATCTCGGTAGAACATATTCTAGAATTGGGAGGTGTAGACCAAAAATAACATGGCATGTAATACTTGCTAAAGATCTACTTGATTTTAAGTTTGTGTAGATCTATAAATGAATTAAACAGAGTGGCGCAATAAGGATTAGGCGCTTTTTGACCCACATTCTTTCAAAAAAATACAATCTTAAATAGTGATTTGATATCATTTCAACCACACATTTTTCAATAAAATAATATTACACGCAAATCCAAAACTTTTCCTTATTTTTTAACCACAAATTTCCCATCAATACACTATTCAAAAGTGCATTCTTTATGAAAATAATGTGACTCAAACAAGGACTTAATATAGTCGATCTTAAATTACTAGGAAAAAGGCTTAGGTAATGTCCTTGTTGTCGCAAATGGGCAAAGAAAATTAAAATTGCCAAAAATAATAAAGCTGATGGGACCATCTACTGCTATTCTCTAAATGATCAACAAAGTCCTCAACAAAAAATGTCAAAAGTTCAGTACTCAGTCTGCAATTAAATGGGATTATTATAGATAACATGATTTTAAACATCAAGTCTTATATGTGAGGAAATTTGATGTTAATGTTCAAGCCTTCATGCATTTACTGCATTCCATGTTACCAAGACAGTCACAACAGTGCTTTCTTGTCATAGTAAGTCCAAGGAACTTAACCATGAAGAATGAAAAGCAAGGAACACTTGCACCTTATCGAAGAGATAAGCTCTCCCATGTTCGCAGTGGAAAGACTGGAACATGGGAACTTAATCATGAATGATGAAAAGCAAAGAACACTTACACCTTATTGAAGAGATAAGCTCTCCCATTCTTGGATTGGAAAGACTGGAACATGGGAACAAACCAGATTAGGAATCATGCATATAAATCCATGCCAACAGTCAAGTGTACAACACCGAACTGTAAATAGATAGGACAACTGAAACGAGTCCCTAAAAATAAAATTTGTAACTACCATAAACGGAAGAGATGGGGAACCCCAAAACAGAGCATCCCTTTATAGTTTCTAAAGATATCAGCAAGGGACAAAAATTTATCTTAAAGAAGGTCACCAGCAAATATGAAGAGAAGTCATGAACAACCGGTCATGTCCCCTGAGGACACATTATTTAACCACGTGTATGTCAGTGACTGGAAAGATGCTTGTATCTTGCCTCTTTCTTGATAGATAAAAAGATCTGAAATATAGGCATGACAAGCATGCAGAAGTCATAACCGTTGCTTCATACAGAGCAAATAACACCTGGTTGTAGAAAACAGCATGGGCATGCATGTGCTACTTTCTGCTTAGCATTATAAGCATGGCATTATATGTTTATAATGAATTCTTCATTTAGAGTCCCATGGGTAATATTTGAAGGTCCCCTTGCTGAAAACAGGAGATCATTCTTACCTCTAGCATTCTACTAAGTAAAGAAACCTGAGATTATTGCACAGACTTTAATTTTTTATGCTCAAAATAAAGACTTGGTAAATTCCGGAACAAAGAAAGGGAACTTTTACTTTTTAATCTGACTTTAAGTTCTTCAGAAACGAACTACTAATACATAGTTAAGTGACAATTATGAATTAAGTTAAGACAATTTATCACCAAATCCTATGATGTGAGACATAACTTCAGAATTCGTTGATTAAAGGTAACAGATCTTGAGGTAACCAAAAACCCTCAAGCTGTGAAACAATAATCTCACTCAATAGTATAGATTTGAATCCAAATTAGTCCCTAAATAGTACCACAGAGAGCAGCCAGAAAGAATTATTCAACTTGCCTGTGTTCTAATCATTTTAGGCACTTCATTCACTGGTAGATCGTCAACCAAATTATAGAAACCAAAAGCAAAACACCAGAGTGAAAAAAAAAAAAACACATATTCAAGTATAAATATATATTCAACGAGGAAAAAGGAGAGACCTTTGAGATAATATCATCAGATAAAGCAAAATGGGTTTTGCAGTACTTGCACGAATACAAGTTTCCTTCAAGAGTGATCACATAGAGCCTTCCCATAGTGATATCACTTGAAAATCGTAATAGAATCCTTTCCTTTAAAAGTAATTGCCCAAAATTAAAGGAATTGCCCAAAATTGATACGATCGATC